CTTTTGAAGGCTGGCCGACGGCGCTTTCGAAACGCCTAAAGAGTGACATGCACCGGCTTTGGCAGGCAAGTGCAGGCATGCGGCCAAAGTCGGCTTTGGCAGGCAAGGCTGCGGTGCACCGGCTTTGGCGGGCAAGGCTGCGGTGCAGGCATGCGGCATGCGGCCACAGTCGTTGGTGATGGCTTCTCGCTGCGCTGTCCCAGGCGCCGCCCCGCTTAGGCCAAGGCTAAGCAGGGGTCGGCAGATAATGCCGTACCAAGCAATTCGCGCCGGCGCAGCGCAGGGTATTCAAGCAGTGGCGGACTTCATTGAGACTGAAACAAGTCCAGAGGAAGTCTTGCATGCCATGGCTTCTGTGATCCTCACACGCAACCGACACAGCATCTTTGACCGCAAGATGTGAGGCTTGGTCAGTTTCGTGGGTGTGATTGTTGGGCATCCACTCCTGAGCCTCGGAGTCAGAGCAGCATTGCCCTCCCATGAAAAGGTTGCAGCAGTAGCTTCTAGCATTTTTTTGAGCTTTGGCACTGCTGTGCGAAGGTCGATATCTTCATTCCATGCTGGCTGGCTTCTCCCGGCTCCCCACGGAAGAGCAACGCCACGCTAGGGAGATCCGCAGGCAATCCGATCTTTTGATGGACATCTACAGTACCTCTACGCAAACTTTCTGTGCCGGACGAGCCCCGACTTGAAGGGATTGTCTGTAAAGCCTCGATGGAGGATCAGATGCAGATTGTCAAGCTTGAAGCGTCTTAAGCAGCTGTAAATTGTACAGTCGTTTTGCAATCAACAATCAAACCTAGATTCAAAACACCTGAAACCTGGGTCTATTTGGCTGCAAACTTCAGGAGCAAGATTTCTTTTGGTCGTTTAAGTATTTTTATATCCGTTGCACTCTTGCTGCCAGTGCTGAGCTGGAGCTGAAAGCCCTGGTCGAGCATTCAAAGACAATGCTGCTGTTTCTTTGCTGCAAGTTCGGGGCACCACAAATTGTGGTGATGGTTCGGGCCGGGGGTAGGTGACCCAGAGTTTCATAGGTAAAACATGGTCACAGATTGAGATGACATGCCAGAACTGGGCCAGAACATGATAAAAAGACACCTGAGTGCTGGTACTGAGTCACTTCGAACTCTCAACAGACTCCTGGCTCCACAACTCTTGAAGGAGGCCCCCCTAAGGAAGGATGTGTCACTCCTTGGATTCTGCAGATTGAAGGTCTAGACACACGGGCAGCTGGTTTTAACAAGAACACGCACACACACACACACACTTATTGAATTGCGTACACATGTTGTGGTTCCCCTGCTAAGAAAAAATCAAAACAGTCCAAAAGGAACCTCATGACTCCAGAGGGGACACGCACACACACACACACTCTATGGCTGCAAGGTCCGTGCAGCTTTAGATTAGGCATTTGCAGCCAAATTCTGACCTAAGCTGGGCACCTTCTACTGAAAGCCAGGGTGCCATTCTTCAACATGCCACAGACGCCTAAGGCCCGAACGGATCACTGAGAGGGCCAAGTTGGAGTCGGCCATCCTGAAAGGAGCACAGAGGGCAGTCTCTTGTGAGAAGTTCAGACCTTATGTTCACATTCAGAAGGCCAAAAGACATCAATCGTGCAGATTACGCAATTGCTGGTGTGCCTGAGCGCTAGGAAGTGACTTGAACTTCCTCATCAAGAAGCAAGCTGCTCGTGTCAAAACCAAGACCAAGAAGAAGGCCGCACCAACCGATCGAGATTGCGCGATGCCACTATCTTCTCGTTTCGCACCAACTTGTAAAGAAGACCCAGACCATCGTTTCTCTGCGCTGAGTGTTGGTGCACCTGACCGGTTGAATGTTAGCATGTTGCTGGGAGCTAGAATAGTCTCTCGAAAGCATGGTTGCAGGTGACAAGGTGTTGCGTTCTAAGGAGCACAAGCAGCATTTGCACATTTTCGCTGTGTTCTCACAGGTTGTCAGATACAATCTGGAGCAGTTGCTCTCATCTGAGAAGGTAGGCTTTCCGCATTGCCGGCCACTGTGAGAAACAGTGTTTCGTTCCTGCAACTGTTTTGATGCATGACTCCTTGTTTTGAGGCAACGGCCAATTGGATCTAACACAAAGGAACCCATTAGGTTTCTTTTTCGACCCTTTGATGAAAGCGTCTGGATTGCCGAGAAGCATTTGTCAAGTGAATTGGGAGGGTTGGTCAGTTAGTCCCCTAACAAAACCAAATGAACACATGCCCTGTGCGGGTGGACCTGGAGCTGCCAGGTATTGGAGTGCTACAGCCTGTTGGACACTGTGCAAGGCGGCTTTGCTGCTGTGTTTGTGGTGCCAAAAGAGAGCCATCGAACTTGTTTGTTGGAAGCCTGCTTCAGGGGAGCCTTTCCGATACAAAGTTTGCCATTACAGCATACTGCGCATGAATTTGTTTGGCACATTCTGTTAGGTCAATCATGATTGACTGACACTTGCCACAGATTTTGCATCCAGGGAAAGTCTACGTGACCTTTTGGTCTGATGATGCAGATATTATGGTTCATGTGCCTCAGCGGAACTTCCGGTCTCGTTCTCCTTCGGAGACAGAAACCTACCCATCCTAAATTCGATGGGTTAACATTGGCTAGCCAGGTTTGCTAACACTTACTGACTTAGGGGCTCCTGGCATCGCTACTAGGAGCAAGGACGGTGTATGTGGTGATCAGACCTGGTGCACGTGGCAACGTCCTAGTCTTGACCGAGGTGGGCCTCCTGGAAGAATCAGATGCTAGGTTGGAGTTTGTGAAGCAGTTCATCATCCCGGAAGATGTGGTCAAGTACTTGAGTCGCTGAAGTTTTCGCTTTTGGAGGGACAACTATGTGAGCGTAGTAGTTTCCAAGAGAAGCTTCCTCAGATTTCAGACCGGTCTTTGGGGACCTTCCAATTGGGAAAGAAGATGAGTAACGACCGTGGCTGCCTTTGGACCTTTGCTTCACGGAGGACAATTGAGAGTTATTTATATATATATATATATTTAATAGTTTGGAAAAATATCACGAAAGCCAGCCGGTAGGCAGGGCTTGAGGTTGTTGGAGCGAACGAAGTGAGTAAAGGGGACGTGTGGGGGGGTTGTTGCGTGGTGGCCAATTCCGGAGAGGTGAACCCAGAGCCTGGTGGGGGAGAGCGACAAAAAGAGGCGGGCCACTTGGTATTGAAAAATGAGTGGTTGGAGGGGTGTTGTGATGCCGGTGATGTAATTGACGGCGAAGAGTGCATCATCAGCGTCACGAGGGGCTCATGAGGCCATGGAAAGAGAACATATATATATATATATGTATATACACAGTACTGACAGGCTTGGCCAACCGGCGACGCCCCTGGGGGGACTTCGCGTATCCGCAGGCTCTTTGCGCAGCAAAATCCGACGATTAGCGCAGCCTCTTACGCCTGCGCGTGCACTCCCACACAGGTGTGCGCGCGAGGGTCTGATGGAAAAAGCTTGGCAACCTCAGCTTCAGACACCGGTTTGCGCCAACTGTAAATGATAATGACTTCACAAATTTCGACCTAGAAAAAACATGTCGCAAGTTGCAAGAACTGCGTAAATATTAGCGTTTTTTGGGGCGTGGTGCGCGAAGTGCTGAACATATCGCGTTTTTCGAGAACACCTCGTAAATAAAGTGGCTTTGAGCACGCGATAGCTCAAAAACATCGGTATTTACGTTGTTTCCTGGCGTAAAACACAAAAAACTACGCAATTAGCGTGGTTTTGGGACACTTTTGAAGCCTTGAGCAGCAAAAACCATTGATATTTACTGTGTTTTCAATCTTTTTGGTCAATTTTAAAAAGGCCTCTCCACCACCAACCCGGGGGATTTTGCCTGGTCTCTTTTTGTTTGCGCGCCACGCGCGCGCGCGCGCGACACATGCGAAAGGAACAACGACCACAGCGAACATGCACCCAACCGGCATCGCTGGTCTGCGAAGCCTTAGAATAACAAGCTAGCTTGATAGGGGTGACGGAATGGCGTCGCTGGAGAGACTGGGCTATCGCCCGCGTGCCGCCGACCCCTATTTTTGTCAAATCACATCATCAAAATTGAAAAGACCATGCCAGTCACATGACCCCAAAAATCATTATTTTAATGTTTTTGAAGGCATGGCTCCAACAGGATCAATCATTCTTTTGCCTTCTGTGAAACTTTTCACTGCACACCTGAGAAGAATATAGCTGCGCACTTGAAGGCTTGTACTATGGAGCAGCTGGACTATTTGGATGACTGCCAGTGAATCCTCCCCCAAAGGCTGTACACGCACCGAAGGTCTGATCTGTGAAATCACATGAAACCACATGAAAATTACTCAGAAAGCAAGGTTATTGGGGTCCTTCAGCAGTTTGTTCCACCCGGTCGGGTCGTCGCGGAAAGGGCAGCCGCGCTGCCGGATTTGGGTGTTCGGGGCACCGCTGCCGAATCCGGTGGGTGGGGACGATCACAGAGTGGACAACAGGAGTTCAGAGCCAAGACAGGCAGCTTCGAAGCTGAGTAAAAGAAGGATTAGCAAGCTTCAAAGCTGAGTGAAAGGTTTGCAAGCCCACAGCCAGAGGCGTGGCAGGCTCCCACGCATGTTGACAAGGTCAAACCCCCGCAAGAAACTTTTGCTTCGGGAGCGGCCCAGCTTAGGCCAGGTTAAGCCGTGGTCGGGCGATATAGACTGTATATAGTAAGTAGCAGCCTTGGGCAATATTTCCGTTTCTCCAGAGTTTTGGTCATCCGCATGTTGACCGCTTCGGCTGCTTCGTATATTTCCAGGGCCTGGGAGCTTGCTTGCCTGTAGACCGCCTCTATGTTCCTGTGTGCCCCAACCCAGGCAGCTTCCTTTTGCAGACAGAGAAGACACCCTTGGCCTTCCACTGGAAGGTGCCAGCTTGTGCAATGTACTTTCAAAAGCGGTGGCCATTTCTCAATCAAGGTATATATAAATTGCAGCCAACACGCAGAATGCAGATGTCGGAGCAGATACCGTCTTCATTAAGATATACTGGCATTGGTGCCTGTTTGTGCATGCACAGTTTCCCTTTTTTTATGCTTTTGCACCCTTCTTACCTTCTCAATGCGTGATGTTGAGTGTCACTCCTGACACGGGCATCAACTTGTGAGCCAGGCCCCATCATCCTCAAGTGGCGAAGCTTGGAGCTGTCCAAGTTGCTGAAGGACGTGCCACCAGCAGATTGACACGCATGGAGGCCTGGAAAGTCATGCATGGAGATTTTGCCTTTGAATCTTGTTGAAAGAGCATCAACAAAACATAAACAGTGCATGCAGGCCTATCCAGTGGGGCGCCTGAAGATTGTAAAAAGTACTTAATGAGGATACGCAGCCTTTGCCAACTACTAGTTTAGTTTGGCGAAACACACCAGGATCAGGAGACTTGGAAAGACATGCTATATAGATTGACAAAAGCTGCCGCGTATTTGTACAAAGCTCCAAGTGATAACGACCCCCAGATGATGCCCTGGCAAATGCCAACATCGTTTGATGTCGGAGAGGGCCAAAGTGCCCCTTCATCGGAAGATACTAGAGGCTGTTAGAAGCCAAGGGAAGAGTCCAAAGAGACAAGGTTCCATGAAGGAATCGTGTGGAACCAAAGATCAAACAGAAGGTTTTTGCGCAAGGCAAGTCTGCCAACCTGGAATGTGGGCAGGCTCAAGCGAAACCATCAGAAGCTCATAGATGGGAAGACAAGGATCTGCTGCGGCCGCCAAGGTACCATGCTCGTTGCATCTTCAACACCTTTTCTCGAGCTCGCAAGGTGGGATACTTGACAAACAGCACTCTGAGCTACTACTGTAACTACTTCTGATCTAGATCTTGGTTGATGATAGGGAGCTCTCAGGGTAGCGGCTACCAGTGAAAACTTGGGGAACCTTTCAACAAATTATGGGATTTGGGAAACATTGGGTATAAAGAACGAAAGCACATGTTCCTTCTGCCATGCCAATCTTGATGCTGGACCACTAGGTTGTCTGTGGTGTGTCCCTCTCCATGCGATGCCAAGCAAAGCCTGTTGCCAGACCACTCGCGTCATTCAGTCGACAGATGACCTGGAAGGCTTTGAAGCCATCCGATCTGAGGAGACTTGGGAAATCTGGAAAAGTGAAGCGGGGGAAGATGGTGTTACTCTTGTTTTTCATATGATTTCAGTGCAACTCAAAGATCTTAAAGGTTCAAGCTAAGTATATACATGATCTGAGTCTGGTCGAAGCGAAGAGATTTTCAAAACTGACACTGTCACCAATCCTGCCATCCGTGCGGGACCTCGAATTGCTTCCCTTAGCTTGTTATCAGCCGCTTTCAATCGGGTGCGAAGTAGCTACATAGCATCACTCTCCGAAGGCTGTCAGTGACCACCAGAGGTGGTCAGTGCTTTACACGACTGAGGACCAGGATCTGCTGAGGCGCATCATTGGTGGCTTGGAGGAGGGAAACGAGAATGGGGACGGGGACGCAGGAAATGTGGATAGACCGGATCGGTGGGATCAGCCCGCAGGATGTCCGCCAAGTGCAGTTTGGCCTCGGAGAAAGCACTGGCCAGCGGAAACGAGGTGCTCCCTTGCAACTGGGCGCTCCACTACTTTCATGGTTGCTGTTGGAGTCAACACTTGAGACAATTGTATGAAAGGTCACAGGCTTGTAAGACCGAGTGAATTTTGTGCAAAAGGCGCTTCCTCAGAAACTCACAGAAGCATAGGTGACTTGTTTGCATGATGCATGCTCGCATGCTTTGCAGGTGCTGAAGACGACCCTGCAGCTGTTGCGGCCAAGAGGACGCTTTCGGGTTTGAACTGTACATAATTGCCAGCGAACACGGAGGGCAGGACGCGGTCCAGAAAGTACAAGCAACTGTTAGGAAGAAACCCACCTTTGGTCTTAGTCAGCGTAGGCTGTCCAGATGCCCCACAGAGTTGCATGTATACACGGAGCAAGACAGGATCCTAGAGATACGGTGATGATCACTGATGCAATCTGATGCACTTGATGGGGCCGGATTAAACATCTTGCAGGCGGCGGGAAGAGGAAAAGTTGAAGGAGCAGATTGACATACGCAAGGCAGGACATGAAGCATCACTGTTGGCCTCTGCATCAGCTCGACCTTTCTTCAAAGGTTCACCTAGTGCGTTGTCAACGACTGCATTCACAAAAGATATCACACATTTTCATTGTCAAAGTTTGAAACACCTAGCATCACCTAGCTGCCTTTACTCGGTGTTTGCAGGGAAATCGATGCTGGGCACACTGCCTTGTGCGGTTTACAGACAGGCATGTGGGCCGATTTCAACTAGAATTCAGAAGCAAGCTTTCAAGAGAGTGCATGCCTTAAACGAGCACAGGGAGACTTTGCGCACCAAAGTCTTTTATCCCTGCCAGAGAATTTGGCCAGCAGCGGTTGCATGAAAGATGTGATCCAATGCCATTGATCCACGCACAGGTTGTTTGCCTCAGAGCCTCATTGCATTTATGATGATGCCAGGGATGGGAGCCTTCGAGCGAAGAAGAGTGACAAGCCTGAGCTGGGGATGATCGTGAAAGAGGCGCTCCACCATCGATTTTATGAGGGGCTACTAATTGGTTGTACATTTAAAGAGGCATGTGAGCAAGTATACCTAACCCCTTTTGGCTGAGCTAAGGACTTTTGCCCGCCTTGAAAACGCTCTGTTGATCTGTTGGCACTTGTAGTTTTGAGTCTGAGATTTTGCTTTAGCGTCCAGTTCTGAGTCTACTTTGAGTTTGGGAACACCTCGTTTCGCCATGACACGTGCTCAGGAAGAAGGGGGATACGTCCAGATCCAGTTCGAGAGCAAAGAGGTCCTTGAACCTGGGAGGGGCGCGCGGTAAATGACACCAACGTTTCGGCCTCCAAGTGCTTGAGATTGAACATTCCAGCTTTCGGGCTTCCACTAGGGCCACAAAACGCAAACAAAAAGACAGGGCTGTTCTAATACAAACTCTGCAAATATAGGGTTGCTAGAGGATGCGCACTGTCTTAAATAGATGATCCCCGCACAGCCTTCTCATTGGGGACAATCGCAGCCTCACGTGCTGCACAGCACGAGACGGAGCGCTTGGAGATGATGAAGAAGAAGAGGCCTGGTGTTGCAGTCTAGCTCTGTAATCAAGGATGCGAAATGAACGACGGTGGCAGTTGAGCTATGGTAAAGCTTCACCATGCTGAACTTCTTATCATCTCATCTTAGTAGATAATGGCAAGAGTTGTGTTGGGCAATGGCAGCCATACATGACCAACCATCAAATAGTTAGTTTTGTGAAAAAAACAAAAGCAAATAAACATGCAAAAGCAGCGCAATTTGCTTTGTTTTTGCATTTGTTTTGCTTTTTCTATTTTTTTTTGCTTTTTTCCTGGTACCACTTCTTGCTTGCCGCAAGAGGTGAGTTTGATTTCAATACACCCGTGAATTAACTCTCAAGCAAGATGATTATTTTATCGTCGTCTTGAAACTTCAAAGACTGCAATTCACTTACCGGCTTATTGCCACCTGCCACGGAGAGAAAACATCCCGACAACCGTTGTGAGGTATGGACGCATCAAAGGCTGGCTGAGGCGAGGCAATTACAGCAAGAAGTTGCCTGTTTCTACAGGCTTATCGAACTGGAACTGTCTCCCAAATTCCGGATAGAACATATTATTTACAGTGATCGCTCGAAATGATCAACCAAGTCTTTTCATTGCCTCAGCTTCATGGGGTTGTTAACTCCGAGTGCCGAAGCAGGTATCCTCGATTCTTCGAGGGCCAGATTCAGAAGGTGGGTCGAAGACACCGGAACAGCACTGTTGCACATTGTTGCACTTGAGCGATACTTCTCGAGAAATTGAGTCAATGGTTTGACTGTATTGTTCACCCCAATATACCCAACCCAGCCAAGGGCTCCTCTGAGAGTTCGCTCTGCCAAAACTGTCAAGATGCACATTTGCTTGAGATTATGGAGTTTAGGACCAATGTTCTCCCAGGTTGATCCAAAGTGGATCCAGAAGACGCGGCCTCCACCGCGACTCTGTAGCTGTGTGCAGCAGGACATGAACAGTATATGTCATTTTTTTTGGGTCATGAACATGGTTATTCAATAACATTTGCTGTGGCTCTTGGCTTTGTGCAGCTGTAAAGTCTTGTATGTGAATACATTCAAGAAAGGTGTATGTATGCAGTTTAATACACACTCCTAAACACTGACAGATTAGAGAATTGTTTTAGTCACAGTCAAACCATCCAAATCACCCAGCAAAATCAACCCAACTTAGGGCATTTGCCTTTTCGGTCTTGACTCCTCTAGGTTTTGAGGCGTCAAGGCAACTCTGCTGAACTATATAGACTTTTTGGACTACCTGTCACAACATTTCTGCTTATTTTTTTGTCACCGGACAGATGCAAGCAACTCCTGGAACTGCGCCTTGCTGTCTTTCGCAGGAATGGAACCATCGCTGTGACTGTGGCATCACTTGTACCAGGGGAACTACTGTGAAAGTCTGGGGTGTAGGCCAATGAGTTCAGGACTGGGGCCCCGTCCAGATCTATGCTGAAAAGACCCTCCCCGACAGCATTGGGGTCCTTGTCGCGCTTGACCTGGTGGTCCAGCGGCGCCACTTCGGTGGTCGCAGATGTTTCACGGCGAGCAGAGCGAGCAGAGTAATTTAGGAGACACTGTGGTCGCACAGTGTGGATTGCTCCACGGGGATTGAAACTCATATTGAAACCTTCCAGAGAGAATGTAATTATGCCTTCCGTGCTTAGTCTTTTGGGGTTGAAAACAGGTAGGACCAGGACCTACTAGGCACTTGATGGTACTTGAGATACTTGTGGTGCGAATCCGGGGTCTCGTGCGTGGGCGTGCGTTGGGGAGTAACGCAAAGGGGAAGTTTCGCCTGCGCAAAAATAGACCGGCGACATGCTCGAGGGTCGTTCCCCTGAGGTTTTTAGATGCACTTGTTACTACTAGCTTCTTGTTACTACTAGTAAGGCACTTGTTACTAGTAGCGATGCACTTGTTCCTGGTAGCTTCCTTTTCTGGAAGTTGTATCTCTTTTTCTCAGTTTGATCCGCTTCCAAATCATGAGGCGTCTTAGTGTCTGATTGCCTCCTGAGATTGTTTGTGGTTGTTCCAATCAGCTTTGCTTTGCCTCCAAAGCTTGTTTCGTCTATTGAACTCTGTTGCCCCAATTTCCTTAGCACTCTGACTTCCCCAACCAGAGCAAACCGAAGCCCCTTTGGCTCCAGCCTAACTGCGCACTGCGGGGGGAGTTGCAACGTGCGGTTGGACGAGCCGAACAGTCGCTGTCGCCGTCCGCGGGGCGGTTTTTGGCACGGAAGCCCAATGAGTTTTCGGGGTGGCAGTGGAACAAGGCAAGCAGTGGAGCATAGCAAATAAGTCAAGGAGGATGTACGTAGGCCCTGAAGCCCCTTTCAGGGCTTTGTCAGAATAATAAGTGAGCCAGTCAGCCAGCCTGTTCCATCTCAAATTTCCTGCTCCGGTGCTCGTTGAACTTGTGAAGCCGAGGTCTCTCCTAGGGTCATGTCAGCGCCTGTGGGGCAGCTGGCGGTCGATGAATATGGTGACTTGGCGAAGCTGCGAATCATTCAAAGAGTTTCGTTTCTGATCCCTGAGCATCAAAGGATTTATGTTCAGTGGGGTGGACCAAAGGCTTTCCAGCCCTACACCACGCTTGGTGTTCAATTTTCTATTGCTGGAAGGACGACCAAAGACGCTGAACAGTCTTTTTCTAGAGATTGCTGAGGCAATCCATTCATCATTTTGGAGGTGCGGCGCTTTGATTGGATCTTGTTTGAGCGATTCAAACAGCATGACATGTGCAATACCGCTTTGAGCGATGTCGCCGGGACCAGCCAAGGTGCCCAGAATCTCAGGTCGGTATCAGTATTTTCTTATGCAACTAGAAACAATTAAGCTACTAGGAACAAGTGCATCGCTTCTAGCAACAAGTGCCTTACTAGTAGTAACAAGAAGCTATTAGAAACAAGAATTCTGTATGCTGAAAGGTATGCCACCTTGCGTGCCTCACTCTCTTTCCCGATCTCTTGGCTCAAGGGGTCGGCCTGCTCCGTACTACGCTGGAAGGTGCCTTCCCGCCAGGTGGTTTACTGATCCACAGCATAGGTTTGTCAACCGGTTGTGCTTGTGCTATGAACATCGTGAACTTTCAAGACAAACTTCAACCAGGTCTTCATTGCACAACATGCTAATTCTGGGAGGCCCTGGGTGTCGATATTCATTTGTGGACTGCATGATGATATTGTATGTACAGTCACCAAACTGAAGGAGACAATGGCGAGATCTCAGAGCTCATTCCACGTTTCTCAACGTTTGATATGTTTTGACACTCCTGCCAAGTGTCACGAGGTGACCAGCAATGCAAAAAGAAGGGGTCGCAAGGAACACCTAGAAGTGATGGACGAGGCTCCAGACGAAGCTCCCGAAGAACAGGAGGCACCGAAGTAGGGTCAACAAAGAGTTATAATTACCCATTGCTTTGGGATGTTGGAGTACCAAGATTTCAGGATCATGTTTCTTCGTAAGACGAGCACTGCAAGCCATTTCATTCAGCCGTTGGGGTGCATCAGTTGAAGGTTTGAGAGGGGTCTCAGCCTGTGAGGCTTTTGGTGAAGAGGCTGAGGCAGAGGAAGAGATGGCGGACGAGGCTGGCGAAGAGCCTGGCGAAGAGCCTGCAGAGGGCGAAGAGATGGACGAACCTCCCGAAGATGTGGAGGAGATGCCGGACGAGGAGGAGCCGCCTGCTGTGCCTGAAGAATTTGATCCTAGGCAGCGGCTGTCATATTTCTTTTCATCTTCAAGAGCAGAGCACTTACGTACCCATTTTTGATTTTCATGAAGCGACTGAGAAGTGTAAAACATCCCTGGCTTTTGAGCCAATGGGCACAACTGGCCAAGGAAGAGCTTCAAGAGATTGACGCGGAGGCTGCAGAGGCTGAAGCCGAGGCGGAGGCTGTGGAGGCCGAGGCCGAGACGGAAGCAGTGGAGGGGGAGGAAAAGCCCAAGCAGCCTCCTTTCTGGGTACGGAGAGCCTTCTGGAAAGTTCGCGTCTTGGCTTTCCGTGGTCCACCATCGTGTCAGAATGGAAAGCCGCCCATGCAAAGGGTGAACGGGGGAGAATGAAGTGGCTCCAATTGCTGGTGAGCACGAGCGCTGGTGCAGTCGCTACTCCTGTTTGTGTTGTTACAACAATTGCTTTGCCTTTGAGCACCGATTCGTAGGGAAGCAAAGATCAAAGCTGCTAGACTGTCATGATCAGCGAGTGACGCTACTCGAGAACCAGCGCATCGAGTGCAACGTACTATTATTATTACTACTACTACTACCACCACAACTACAACTTCAATATCAACAACAACAACAACGACAACTACTACTACTACTACTACTACTACTACTACTACTGCTACTACTACCGTGCCAAATCTAGCGCGCATAGCCGTGCCGCCCGCCGAGCGTAAAGCGCAGCGCACCGCGTGCAGCGTGCCGAGTGCATCACAGCTCGCCGAATGAGTTGGGTCGTGTGGAGTTGGGTGGTGTGTGTTGGTCGGTGGAGGGGAGTGGGTGTAGGGACCTGCTGTGTCGGGAGCTAGTCGGAGCCCTCGTGAAACGAGCCCATGAAGGTCTCGGTCATTCCGGGAAAGATAGGTTTTTCCGAATCTTGAAATACAGCAGAGCATCCGAGCAAGTCCTGAAGATTGACAAGGAAATGAAATGTTCGGTATGCGAAAGATTCAAGAGATTACGACCCTCTCGAGTGGTCCGTGCTCCTCCTCCAGAAGTGCATCGCAGAGCGCTCAGTGCAGCGCACCCAGTTCAGCGCACCGAGTGCATCGCAGCGCACCGAGTGCAGCGCGGCGCATCGAGTGCAGCGCGCCGAGTGCATCACAGCGCACCGAGTGCAACACCCCGAGTGCAACGCACCGAGTGCAACGCACCGAGTGCATCGCACCGAGTGCAACACAGCGCACCCAGTGCAGCGCACCGAGTGCAGGCCAACCCGAAAACACCACATTACACCAGCTACACCGATATTTCACACCCCAAACCGGTCTCGTTCTCTCACTTGATGAGTCTCCTCACTTGGGTATCCGGTTTTGGGAAATCAAAGTGCTGATCGAAGCCTAGGAGAAGGCAGATACTTCTTGAGGCTTCGGCAGAAGGTGCGGACGCCAGAGGACGCACAAATTTTCTGTGATGAGTTGGGTCGCAGGATTGAGGAGGCCGGGAGAGAGCTACTAAAGCATGCAGCATGGCAAGCGAATGAAAGTGTACTTGACGGCGCTGGTTAGATGGCGATACAAACTCATTGACTCAGTGCGTCTAAACCGCGCAGGCGAAAGAGAAAGGTGAAAGGATGACGTTCGAAGACTTTGACATTGCGCAGAAGCTTTGCAAGCTTAGCAAGCAAACAATAAGGAAGCAAAGAGAGACGAACAAACAAAGATAAGGCTCTTCAAAGGAGGAACATTCCTTCCTTTTTTGGTCTCCTTGGACGCTACTAGTAACAAAGGGCATCGCTACTAGGAGCAAGGACGCTACTAGGGGCTCCTGGCCTTACTACTAGGAACAAGAAGCTACTAGTAACGAAGGCACTACCAATTTGCAATCATTGTCCCTTCCCGGGCGGTCCGAACTTGGAAGCCTCCAACGAAACAGGGTTTCATACTTTCAGCTTTGAGAAGGAGAAGGCTATGTAATGAATATAGAACAGTCAAAAAGAAACTACTAGGTGGAGGCCATCGCTAGTAGGTTGGAGGCCATTACTGGTAGTATAGATGGGGTCTGTCCTATTACCTGTAACAGTCAGTAAACAGTTATTTCTATTTTTGGACAAGGCCTTTACTAACCATCATCATCCACTGTTACAGGTAATAGGATAGACCCAAAGTATATAGCTAGAAGCTACTAAACGGCTTGAAGATGGCACCACTTTTCACGCCCTATGGTGGCCGTCAAGTTCTGTTTTAGTGGTAGGCGGGACATGGTTTCAACAACAGCAGGGATGCAGAGAGCTCCTTAGTCGATGTAAGGACCTTCATCCCCAGCGAGCATTTAGAGACCATGTTTTCGCTCCTCTCGGATGCTTGGAAGCAAGTAGCTCTGCCAGTTGAGTTTCATTGGGGCATATTGTGGCGATTTCTGCGCTGGTGAAGAGAGACGTTAATAGGAAGAACAAACAAGAAGCCACTAGGGGCTCCTGGCATCGCTACTAGTAGCAAGAAGCTACTAGTAACAAAGGGCATCGCTACTAGGAGCAAGGACGCTACCATGCGATTTCTGCACTGAATGATGATTTCTGCACTGGTGAAGAGTGACGTGAATCCGTTCATCATGAGATTGGCAAACTATGCACAATGGAGCACTGCCCGCGAGGATGGCAATGTGCAGATCGAACGGCTTCGGGCTTTTGGAATCCCAACCTTAGATGATGCTGGAGCAGTGATGCTTTCTGGTTGGCTTCAAGGCGAGGAAAGCGAGGAATGTCTAAGTATAGCCCAGGAGTGCTAGAGCTTTCGGACGCTAGAGCAAGTGGAAATTCTACATCAGGGAGAACAAAAAAGCAAAGTATGCCTGGACAGGTTGTTGTCAGCAGAGTGAAATGAGTTAAGGGCCCAAGGGCCCCTTGAATATCTTGAATAAGGTCATCCGGAGGGATGGACCGATCCTTCTGAGAGTTGTCCCATGCTCAGGAGTCGTCCCTGAGACGGTACCTCATGAACTTCATTTGAGTGACTGCGCCATAACGGCCGTGGGCTTTAGGGCGATCATGGAACCTTGGATTATCTCTGACTGCACGAAGGCAGAAGGACATTCGGACGAACTCCCTTGACTTGTGTGGACAACCTGACCCCATTTTGCGAGTTCTAGTCGATTGCTCGGGATGAAGAGATGCATTGTAACACATTGCCCATGCTGTTTCAGGCCTTGTAACAGAAAAGCTTTCCGTTTCAGCAAAGAGTTTCGTAAGAAAGCTTGGATTATTGATTAGGATGAGATGTTGATGAGGATGGCAGTGATGAATATCAGGACACTGTTGGTTGTAGTGATGATGATGACGATGCAGCCGCCGACGACGGCGATGACGATGACCATGACCATGACGACGACGATGACGACGACATTAAGTTTTGATGAGAAAGCCCCGAGTTAAGAACAGTTGCAGCCAAGAGTTCTTACTGGCCAAACGGTTAGCTTAGATCGCAAAATCCTCACCCTCATCGCCTTGGGGCTGTTGAAGCACAATTCAATTCAAAAAGGAGTGCTAACAGGTGCTAACAAGGCACCCTTTCAAGGGGGGCCTCATCAAAGGGACCCACGCACCTTCAAATGTTCTTCTCTTTTGTCTTCCTGTGGCCGGACTGGGGTCGGTAGAGACCGGTTCCGCTGCTTTCGTAGGTGTCTTTTTCCGCTGTGCCATGGAAGCTGGGGGTCCGAAACACATTGTATCGGAGGAAAGGAAACGTTGGCAAGGCAGGAGCTACTGGTGAATGAACGTGTTGGTGCATTAGGAGAAGCATGCTGTGCTTAGGTTTGGTGCAGCAGAGAACCGCCAAAAAATGCGTTTGCTTCATCACAAAGCATTTCACTCTGCACCACGTCAGACCAGCATTCACGACACAAACACATCTGCCCAGTGGAGGTCGAGAGCCTGATGATAAGCTTCTCCACACTGAACATAATCAAAACAAATGCTTTTGCATCATGAATCATGATACAGTCTTTTTGCTTTTTCCTCCTGGATGCGACTTGCAGACCTTGGTGTTCAATCTTAAGCCTCAATGCGCTCTAAGGACGCTTTGAATGAAAACCAGACCTTCCCAGCAGACGATCCGAAGAAACCCGAAGAAGGAAAGTTAGCCTTGTATTTGAGAATAGAAGGCAACTATATTGAAACGAGCGTCATCCAGGACAGAAAGGGTCGGGGAGAGAGAAGGTTTCGATTCTAATCTCCTTGAGGCCGCATGCTCGACACGGATGTCAGAATACGATTCTGGGGGTCTTTTCTCGTGAGATGACGAGTTTGATTGGAGAGATCCTGGCAGATTTGCAATAAAATGTGAGGCTCACTGGTGGCAAGAAGAGCTTTCAAGACAGGGCCTAGTGTGGTCAGCACCACTGGAACCAAAATGGACACATACCGGGTTTGGCAAGCTGTCCAATGAAGATCCCACAGTACGCAGAGTGACTAGGGTTTGACCTGCAACAGCGATCCAGTTGACAAAGGACTTGACAATGAAACCTCATAAGGGTAACAAATGGGATTGGAGCGGAGGAGAAATCTTTGTTCAACATGATAGCCTCTGCTCTTTCACGCTGAGTGAAGACATTGAGGGCATCGGGAAGTCTGGTGAGACATTGCAAGGGCTCAAACTGGACATCCAAAACCCCCAGAAGTTCGATAGTACATTGGTGAGCTCTTTATGTGGGTAGGCTGTGAAGAGGTAGGTAGCTAAGTAAGTAAGTAGCAAGCTAGAACCTACTCTATATATAGTAGGAGAGCCCTTCCCATAGTCAAACTGTTCCTCAATCTTGAGGGAAATAGCCCGCTTGCTTTCTTTGTGAAGCAGGAGTGCCTGGACGAGGGCACTGCCCAGACAATGACCAAAAAGGCTTCCATGGAGCACTCTGACACGGTAAAATGTCGAATTTTGATTCGTGGCGACGAGACTGAGGACAATCCCTTCAAGCAGAATGAAGGCGACCCCCCAGACCCTGAAAATGCACCACCTCCCAAGTTTGTGAAGGAAAAAGGAAAAGGAAAGGGAAAACATTCCAAGGGCAAGGGCAAGGGCAAGGGCAAAGGCTCCTACTCCTACCGCTATTGGGGAGGGGGAGCCAAAAACTCCTGGGAAAGCCAGCCAAGACAAGTACAATCCAAGCCGCGGTCGGCTTATTCAGAGTGGAAGCCAGCTCGACAGGTCACCTACAGACAGGACAGTAGAACCCAGACCGACAGATGGGCCAAGCCCAAGGAATCCTGGCAGTCACACAACAAGAAATGGGAGTCGAAAGACTCCAACTGGAGCAAGCCAGAGGCCAAGTGGACCAAGCCGGAACCAAAATGGTCAAAGCAAGAGCCCAAATGGTCCAAGGCAGAAGACAAATGGTCCAAGGCAGAAGACAAATGGTCCAAGCCAGAGACGAAATGGTCTAGCAAGACTGGAAATGAGAAATGGAATTCAAAGTGGGAGAAGAATGATGCGAAACAGGACTCAAAACAGGAAAAGTGGAGTTCGAACTCCAAGCCCAAGTGGGAGGCATGGGAAGGCCAGAAGAAGCAGCCCGAGCGAAAATCTGATTGGGAATCCAAGACATGGAAGGATGACAGTTGGAAGCGCTGGTTGCACGAGGAGACTGGCAAGGGCAAGGCCTCTAAAGGTTCCAAGACCGCTGGCCTGGCAGCACTCCCCAAGAGCGCAATTACAGAGGCCGAACGCAGCCAACGCTTTGGACAAGGTAAAGGCAAAGGACGGGAGGAGAAGGGAAAAGCAGGAAGGGACAGTGACTTGGTACAGATTGCAGCAACCTTTCCTTTGCGCATTTCTATTCCATTTTGCACAAATCTTCAGATCCATACAACCGTAATAATTTCTGGAGCTGCAGAGAGTTGTAGACGAGGTACAACAATCCAGCCAAGGGTAGCCTTCGGAAAGATAAGACCACTTGCTTCCGTTCTTGATATGCCCCGCTTCAACAGGGTTTAGGATGGTGTAGGGCACACTGCCATCATAGTGAGCATAATCCTGCGAGTGTAGGATCAGCATTTTAAAAGCGAAAGCTAGCGAGGCCACTCCGAGCCCTTCACAGCCTTCCGTGCACCTACCCGCGGCAGCGCTGCCACGATGACCAAGACTCAGAAACGGGAAACCTCTGCGCCTGTGGCTGCGGAGGCCAAGCGGCCGAGACTTGCAGGACGGGAGCATTAAATAATCACGAAAGCTGGCACCAGCTAGCTGGAGTTGTCCTTGCTTTAGCAAGTGAGGGGCTGGAATCCTGGAGATCGCTGCATCACGTGAAAACTTCATATGTAGAGGCCCCCCCCCCGGCGGGTTCAACGCCTCTGGGACACCTCTTGGACACCTCTTATGGCATCCACTTTGGTTCAACTCCTCCGTGGAGGTTTGGGATACGATGCAACAGATTCAACAGATTCACAAGCTAAGGTTGGCTGTGTCATTGTTGTTCGTGTGTCTTACATGACATGTTCACAACGTTTTACCTCATGAGCGAGACCTTGCGTCCCTCCAACAGCCCCATGCCTATGAAAAAGATTTGCCTCACTCCGCCTGATGTCCCACCAGTCCTTTGTCACTGGACGGCGCTGTATGCTTCGCCTCCACTGACACGGATGCATCCCTGCTAGCTTTCGTCACCTACCCTCGGCCTCAAGTACTAGTAGCGAACATTGCTCCTAGTAGTACGGCCAGGAGCCCCTAGTAGCGTCCTTGTTCCTAGCAGCGTGGATCATATGGTGGATCATGCATGAGTGGGAAGATCGTGTGCGCGAGAGAAGGAAGAACAATTGACTCTTCAGCGCCATGACAGGTTAGATTTTTCGAGTTTCCTGGGATTCCAGTCATGTCTGCAGGAGGCCGAGATTCCCTGCCACCTGGTTGGGAGAAACATTGGAGTGACCAGTACGCAACGCATTACTATTGGAATGAAAAGACGGGTGAATCCACCTGGGACGTGCCGAAGGCTTAGAACATCTTCAGCATGTCACATAGCTCACATAGCTAGGCTGGCTTGCCAGTTCAAGGGGCGACAGTCAAACAACGCATCCAAACTTCAATCTATGAAGACTTTGAGACGAAAAAACTGTGCGCAGCTGCATGTTCATGCCTTCGTGACGAGACATGACAAAGTGAAACATTTGTAGCCTTGTGCGTGGGTTGGCAAGCAGTAGCGGATCTCAGTAGCGGATCTCGACCCTCCTTCTCACCCCACAAGATGCCGTTTTAGTTCTGAGTTTCAATATGAAGTCACATGCATTTGGGTGAAGATGACCAGGTTCATGGTTGGTAATTAGAGAAAGAGTCTACTGATTGCTCACTCTATGTGCATGCGAAAACCACCTCTTCTCTCACGAAACGATCAGAAACCACAGACTCTGTGCACGTTTTCTCTCCAGGAGCAGGCAAAGAAGAAGCGACTCTCAGGTCTAGATGCCCATAAGGCACAGATTTTGTTTCTGCAGATGCCGATTCACTTCATAGATAGACAACATGTATACATTTGTGTACAATGGAAAACATATGCACACAATGCATCCAAACAGGCTATTCCATCGAGGAAGTCTCTTCGACATGGAGCCATCAGCAGTTCTCTTGCGAGGCCAACATCCTGGCCGCCAAGGCAGTTGCAGACTCGGCGCGGAGACCCCAGGGTTGGGGAACGCACAGGAAATCTATGTCAGCACTCTTGGGAGAAGGATAAGAAAAAAGGATACTTGGGCCCCTTCAATTGTATAGGTCTCCTTTAAGGGGGCCTTATTACATACTCTCGCACTGACGAAATTTAGCGCCCAAGGGGGCTTCCACGGCAGGGTCAGGTTCACACTATGCCCATTCAACACAGTTGATCGAAGGGCAAAGACCAAGTGGACGGGGACCTCCTTTCCGAATGCACCACACATGAGAATAAGGGCAGCAGTAGCATTTGCTGTTGCTTTTGTTCTTTAACTCAAGATGGAGCGGGGCGGCAACAATTGAACGCTTCTCGCAAATGGTGAAGCCATCTCTCAGGATGTTTGGGTATGATGGCAGTGTGGCCACGACAGTGGGCTCAAGATTGACTTTAAATTTCTGGTGCAAAACCAGAATGGCAAGTTCAAAATTGACATTGCGGATCCTTCTCCGAGTCGCCACTTAAGGTTTGAAGGTTGTTACAGAGGGAAAGGAACAGCCGAAAGTTGTGTTCTGACATCGCCCTATTGGTGTGCAGTGGTATGCCAAGGTGCAACTCAACGGACCATGTGTAGAGGTTTGAAGACACTTCCTGTGGCCAAGAAGGGCAAAAAGGGCAAAACGTCCGTGCACAGCGTCAGCTGCTGGGGATTTGACTTCCTATTTTACTTTGTTTCAGTATGGCCAGCAGAACAGTCGAGCAGTTCCACTTGGATCCAATCAGAACACGCGCTGGGAGCCATCCGATGTCAGGTGAGAAGCTCTATGGGGCCTCGAGGGATGGACAAGATGGTGGTTGGCCCTGATGGGGACTGATGGAGGGCGATGAAGTGAGTGCTGGAATGGTGAAATTCTCCTGTCAAGACAAAGTCAGTGCTGAACGAACCAAAACCAAATCAAATAATTACAACAACATGCCAACCATGCTTGGGTACATTGAATGAGGATGAATTCTTCCCTGGCGTTATACATTTTTGTTCAAAGTGCTGGTCTGAGGCACCACCGTACCATTGCGGCCCTATGTGAATTTCGATTTTGCTGAATCTGCGGCCAGTCAAGAATTTGTGCATTCATGCTTTCGTGGAAGAAATGGACACGTAATGTCCGGAATGTGTTCTGCCAGGGACCGGCACACGACGAACATAGACATAGAGAGAGGGGGGCACCACTTCAAAATGGCTGGTGCGCTGGAGCTCGCATTTGATGCATGAAGCTTCCCGGAGGATGTCACTGTGACCAATGATGGTGCTACCATCCTAGAAAAGATGGACGTTAACCATCAGGCCATGGGGGAAGGGTTGTGCATGTGCAGCAACAGGCAAGTGCATTGGAACTTGCTCCCCGGGGTATTTGGAAGATCTTGCATATCAATAGTGTTGACTCAGTTTGTGATATAATATAGACATGGATGTAGAATGTAGACAAAACAATTGGGTTGAAGCTAAGGCCTGAAAGATTCACAAACACCATTGAAACAAATAGCAAGATAGCGGATCTATCTCTGTTTCAACACATACTATCTACTTCTGGCCTTCAACCTGCAGCATTCATAAGGAAAAAGAGGGGACGTCTTGGCGAGAATTAACTTGGGTCCCAGTAGAGCTTGCTCCTCACGTGCCTCTTTCATCCTTTATCTGGTGGCCGTATACATGTGGGTATGGCATTTGCCAGAGTGGAAGATAGCAATGCACTTGTTACTAATAGCTTCTTGTTACTAGTAGTAAGGCACTTGTTACTAGTAGCGATGCACTTGTTGCAAATAGCTTCAGCTGTGGTTCAGATCCGATGAACGGACCACATCCACAGTGCATTTTGCCTCAGATTGCCAAGCTGCTTGTCGAACTCTCCAAGTCGCAGGAGGGACTCTGCATTCTGACTCTGAAGGCATTGACAATAAGATATGGAGCGCTGTTTGTGTTAAGGTTTTCAAAGCTATTGGCAAATTGACATGGCCAACTATATAAAGGGTCATGGTGAGCAAGTCATGGATTTTTTCCAAGCCTGAGACTGGCTGCGTGACCCGCCTGGCCCAGGACCATGAGATCGGTGATGGCACCACTGGCGTGGTGGTCATGGCTGGTGCCCTGCTGGAGAAGGCCGAGCGTGGAGGGGTATTTATTTTTGGAATATTTTTTTTGTTTTTTTTTGTTTTTCGTGGCTTCTGGCTTCTGGCTTCTGTGGCTTCTGGCTTTTGTGGCTTTTGGCTTCTGTGGCTTCTGGCTTTTGTGGCTTTTGGCTTCTGTGGCTTCTGGCTTTTGTGGCTTTTGGCTTTCGTGGCTTTCGTGGCTTCTGTGGCTTTTGGCTTTTGTGGCTTTTGGCTTTTTGGCCTATCCATCTATCTGTCTAGTCTATACCTATCTATTTATCTATCTATCTATCTTTCTTTCTTTCTTTTGGCAGCTGTTCTCCTTTCTCTTTTTGTATTTGTTTTTCCTGTTGTTTTCGTTGCAGAGACGAAACCAAACAAGGAAGCAAGGAAGCAAGCAAGCAAGCAAGCAAGCAAGCA